CGCTATAAAACAGAAGTTTAAAAAGTTTTAAGCCCCTCGTAGTAGGGAAGACACTCAGCAGAAAGAGAATGCGAGGCATAAATTGCCACCCCCCACCATCATTCAAGGAAGACCTTCATAGCTCAGACATCGCTGTAAAAATCTTCTACTCCCGACTGTGTTAAAACAGCAAGTCAAAGCAGGAGACAATAGCTGATGAGAATCATCTTATAGCATAATAAGATCCCTCTTACACACATTTTCCAAAGCCGTGATAACGATGTAGGAAGGTGCTATTTAAAGGAGAGAAAAAAAAATCTTTTAGATTTGCAAAGCATAATGTGATTTTTTTTTTTTTTTAGTTATATAATCAATTTTATTGTGATTTCCACCAGGTTTTAAATACAGGAACTGTTAGGAAAAAAAAAAAGAAATAATTTAAGAACATTTATGACAATTGTTATCACATGTGATAACTGTAGAAATTCTCGTAACCCTGGGTTGAGGGACATTTGTTTAATTTTGAATCCACTGGTAATGTCTCGTGTTAATTGCATATTATATGAAATGCTGTGAACTAGTGCCATATTACATGTCCAGAACTAGTGCCATATCGCATGCCTTGAGCTAATAACATATAATATGCCCTGAGTTTTTACCATAGCTATCTCTAATGCTCTATATCACAGGGGTAGGCAACCTTCGTGACTCTGGATGGTGTCGATTCCATCCCCCACAATGCTCACAGAGCTATAATGCTGCAGGCAAAGCAGCAGAGGAGATGTAGTCCAAAACATGTAGAATACCGCAGGTTGTCTATTCCTGGTATGTCATGTTGCATCGTCCACCATGCTGTGATCTTGTTCTACATGGCATTCATAAACTCTGTCTCACATCAGATCCTCCCATTATAGCTTAAATGAGATCTTAATTAACCATTAACATATTACAATGTCTAATGATTATATGCATTAATACTCATTACTGCTTTATTTAATCTAACATCACATGCTTAAAACTGACATGTTTACATTTCCTTCTGTCTGACATCACTTCTGCCTAATATTATATGTCAAGTTGACACCAGATCCTTGACTTGAGTCTGTCATTATTTCCCTTGTCTGCGACTGACATCATACCCTGTCTGCGACTGACATCATACCCTGTCTGCGACTGACATCATGCCCTGTCTGCGACTGACGTCATGCCCTGTCTGCGACTGACATCATACCCTGTCTGCGACTGACATCATGCCCTGTCTGCGACTGACGTCATACCCTGTCTGCGTCTGACATCATACCCTGTCTGCGACTGACGTCATGCCCTGTCTGCGACTGACGTCATGCCCTGTCTGCGACTGACGTCATACCCTGTCTGCGTCTGACGTCATACCCTGTCTGCGTCTGACGTCATGCCCTGTCTGCGTCTGACATCATGCCCTGTCTGCGTCTAATATCATGTCCCTGTCTGCGTCTGACATCATTCCCTACCTGTGTCTGACATCATTCCGTGTCTGCTTCTGCATCATTCCCTGTCTGCATCTGACATCATACCCTGTCTGCGCCTGACATCATACCCTGTCTGCGCCTGACATCATACCCTGTCTGCGCCTGACATCATACCCTGTCTGCGTCTCACATCATGCCCTGATTGGCGTCTAACATCATACCCTGTCTGCGTCTGACATCATTCCCTGCCTGTTTCTGACATCACTCCGTGTCTGCGTTTGACTTCATGCCATGTCTGCGTCTGCATCATTCCCTGTCTGCGTCTGACATCATTCCCTGTCTGCGTCTGACATAATGCCCTGTCTGCGTCTGACGTCATACCCTGTCTGCATCTGACATCATACCCTGTCTGCGTCTGACATCATGCCCTGTCTGCGTCTGACATCATGCCCTGTCTGCGTCTAACATCATATCCCTGTCTGCGTCTAACATCATATCCCTGTCTGCATCTGACATCATTCCCTGCCTGCGTCTGACATCATTCCCTGTCTGTGTCTGACATCATTCCCTGCCTGTGTCTGACATCACTCCGTGTCTGCGTGTGACTTCATGCCATGTCTGTGTCTGCATTATTTTCTGTCTGCATCTGACATCATACCCTCTCTGTGTCTGACATCATACCCTGTCTGCTTCTGACATCAAGTCCTTTCTACATCTGACATCATTCCATGTTTGCGCTTGATATCAAATCTCCTGTCTGAGTCTGACATAACATCCCCTGTTTGAGCTTGTAACATTCGCTGTTTGTATCTGAGATCACTACTCCTGTAAGTTTAATTTACCATCAAGGATACAATGACTAATGTTTCACTGATTATAAAATTTAGCCATGGACGTATGTTTGGAAAAAAAAAATTCTTACAATTCCCCATAGAATTTTAAATAAAATTTTCAGGTGTAAAGCAGTGACAGGCAATATATTTGATAGATATGTTACCATGTGACTGTTTTGCTCATATACCATTGACTTTGTCTCATAACACAGCTTGTGACTTGTAGTTTACCTTTGCTACAGACTATGTATCATACCATGCAGTCTGACGTCTCATATTATTATTATGTTATAGTTATAAAGTAATATTTTGATGCAGCGCTGTACAATGAGTAGATCACTCGTTCAATAATGTGTACCAGCTGGACACAGGAAATGGCATCACATCATCTCACATTACAATCAGTGAAGTCAGTTCTTACATCAGATTCACAGTATTAAAAGCAGAGTGCTTGACAGCCTATATCACTTTCAGATTGATTAATGATTGTCCACGTGTTCCCTTCTTAGCTGATGCCAGCTGTTTTAAAGTGACAGTAAACTAAGGTAAAGAAAAACTCTGTGAAGGTGGAGGGTTTGAGGTGTGCCAGGGTCATGGGCTACAGAATATAATCAGGACCTTCACTGATAGCAAATTAAATCACATGGGGACAAAAGTTGATGGTGGGTGGATGGCTGAGCTATCGTGGGTGCAATTATCTATTCTTAAAGGAAACATGTATTGCTAACCCTATAGAATTCTACTAACTAGATATGTGTAACCCCTCCCCCCCCACTATGTGCGCATGTGTGGCAAATTGCAGCTCTGTGCCAATCAAATCTTCTCTAGGAGCAGCATTTGTTTAAGAACTAAGTCTTACTTGGATCTTACCGGAAAAGTGCCTCTAGTGACTGTCAGGAGGTGTGTTAACCCTGCTATCATATCATCGCCATGTCTACTAATCAGCAATAATTTACATTGCAGGGTTAAACTGAAGGCCCACTGCACCTAGTCCACTTTATCTCAATGAAGTGGTCTGGGTGCCTTTAGTGGTCCATTTAACCCCATGCAAATAGAGTCAGTGTACTAAAACAGAGGCAGAGATTCAATGTTACTTCATGTCCCCCCACACTCAGAACCCAGCTGCCAGTCCCACAGAGTTTAAGGTTGCACAGGACGGGGAAGTGCCTCTATGATAGCGTGGCCATGCTACAAGATTCAAAGCTAGAGACATAACTGGGGGGCTGTGCAGAGATATGTTGGGGTATAGAGAGAGATAATGTTGGAGGTTGGAGAGAGTTATGGAACTGGGGAGAGATAACGTACATTGCACACACAGATATACACACATGCTGACATTGCATACACAAGACCACAAGATATTAACATTGCATACTAAGGACCTGTAGCATACACACATACTGACACTACATACACTTAGGAACACCAACATGCACACATGCTGGCATCACATACACCAATAAAGACACATACTGACATTGCACAAACATCGGAACACCAATACACATACATACTGACATTGCACAAACAGCAAAAACCAATATACACACATACTGACATTGCACAAACACAGGAACACCAATATACACACATACTGACATTACAAAAACACAGGAAAACCAGTATACACACACATACTGGCATTGCACAAACAGGAATACCAATATACACACATACTGACATTGCACAAACACAGGGACACATCCTTACCCACATACTGACAGTGCATGTTCAAACAAAGTAACATCAGCATACACATATATTCACAGTGCAAATGCACAGACACAAACACAGGAACACGTACTGACATTGCAGGCACATAGAAACACTCACATACTGACATTGCACAAACAGGAATACCAATATACACACATACTGACATTGCACAAACACAGGAATACCAATACACACACATACTGACATTGCACAAACACAGGGACACCTTTTACCCACATACTGACAGTGCATGTACAAACAAAGTAATATCCACATGCACATATATTCACAGTGCATACGCATAGACACAAACACATGAACTCGTACTGACATTGCACAAACATGAATACCAATAAACACATACTGACAGTGCATGTACAAACAAAGTAACATCAACATGCATATATTCACAGTGCGATCACACAGAAACAAACTGACATTGTACAAACACACGAACACTCATATACACACATACTGACATTGCACACACACAGGAACACCCCTTTTCTTTGCTGTGAGAAAGAGTAGTAAATTACATTTATCTAATACCAAGTATTAGGTTTGTGCCTACTTGTTTCATGTTTGTTTGTTTGTTTATGCGCGCGTATGAAGAAAGTTTATACATTTGGCCCTCCATTCCCACTTCAATGTACAGTTTGGCTGTCTGAAACAAATGAGTTAGACACTCCTACTCGAAACACAGTGAACAATAGACAGCATACTAATTCGTAAAACCGCTTTGAATCACAAAGTGCTGAATCAGATTACAGCCTGTATATTATTACACAGAACACTCTGAGCACAATAACCTCTACAGATCATTGTAGTGGTTATGGTGCAAAGAGTCTATGAGCATTGTTCCCCAGTTTGTGTGAAACCATATTGGAGTGGTTTCACAAGAATTGTGGCAGATGCCTGGCTCCTAGAGTCTGACTTATCACTTACCTCTTTCCTAATAAAGAAGTAACCTTCTGCGAAAACATTCCTGAATATGGCTTACAGTGATGGGCAGGGAGAACTTTGTTAAAGGACTACTCCAAGCACCATAACCACTATGGTGCTCTGTAGTGGTTATGGTGCTTGGTGTGTTCCCTAAATCTTGCACTCTTAGTATATCATTGATTCTTAAAATGGGATGGGCTGTAGTGGTTATGGTGCTTAGAGCGCTCCATTATTCTGGTCACTTAATGAATAGTAGTTTTTTCCTCCGACATTTATTGGGAAATCTTTATTCACTAGCCAGGGATATGCTTATCTCATATAATAACATATATCTATAAATGAGAAGCTAAATGGAAAGAGAACAATTTGTTTTAATTCCCTACTAATTTACTCGCGATAAAATTATATATCTCTTAGCCTAGGAGTTTAATAACCTTCTCAACGGAGAGTTTTAATTTGAACACTACATTAAGCAATGTTTTTATTTATTCTTACTTTACTGTTCCTTTTAAATAGTTCCGTGCTTCACTTTACCATTCTAGTTCTAATTCTTTACACAAAGTAATGTGTTTGTGATTAAGATTTGTTATCACTTTTACGTAACTCTGTCCCTTTAAGGATTATAATTTCCAAAAAAGTTAAATAATTGCTGCCAATTGCATGTAGAGAAAAGGCCATCTACTGACTGCTCCATAATACAGCGACAGACTGTGTCTGACATCCTCCTATTACATCTGACTGTGCCGGGTAGAACGTCCTCCCACCATGTCTGAAATGTTAGCTTGTGACTGTTTAATATAGCGTTTGCTATAGCGATTGTTCACTGCCTCTGATATCATACTTTTTTTTTTTTGACGTTTCCCTGCATCTCGAATCATGCCCCCTTGATTGTTCGCTGTATCTGATATCATACCACCTCAGTGTGCACTGCACCTGATATCAAATTGTCTGAGTGTGCGACGCATTTGATACCATAACCTCTAAGTGTGCTCCACCTCTCAGATGACATCGAGTGCGTGCTTCATCTGATCTCCGCATCTGAGTGTGGACGATACTTCAGCCCCCATTGTTTTGAGTGTGCACTGCATCTCGGATAGCATTGTCTGACTGTGCACTGCATCTCGGATTAGCATTACCTGAGTACGCACTGCATCTGATATTACATTTCCCATTGGTGTGCACTGCATCTAATATCATATCCTCCAATTGTGACCCGTGTTTGATATCATTTATTCCTACTACGCACTGAACCAAAAATATTTCTCCCACATTGCACTGCGTCTGACATCTTCACCCTGCCAAGTTGTACCTGAGACAAATTCTTTTATCATGGTGCACTGCTTCAAATATCTTCCCATGATGCATTGCGTCTCATGTCTCTCCCCCCACCCTATGATGCACTGCTCCTGCCATCATCTCCCTCCCATTATGCATTGGGTACAGGCTCATGGCGCCTCCCTGTGTTTGCTCTGCAGACCATGCTGACTGCTATCTCAATGAGCGCCATCGCTACCAATGGAGTTGTGCCAGGTAGGGGGATATTTCAGATGAAAAACAAAAAAAAAACAAATGGAGATACAATGCATGGGAGGAAGCGGGAGGGGGTAAGCATTGGCAATGCTGCTGGATGCAGAAGCAGTGTGTTGCTGTGTGGGGGTTTACCGGAGACTTTAAACCTAATGCAGACGCTGTGCAAGGTGGTTAACTACGCATCAGTCTGACACCGGTTTAATGTACCACCGTGGGGTAGTTAACAAAGGGGGGGATTGTCTAGGGCAGTAGGTAGGCAACCTTTGGTACTCCAGGTGATGTGGACTACATCTCCTATAATGCTCGTACAGCCATAATGCTGGCAAAGCATCATGGGAGATGCAGTCCATAACATCTGGAGTGCCGAAAGTTGCATACCCCTGGTCTAGGATGATGGGTATGCACCACAGTTGTGTAGGACACAGATGTTGAAAAACTTAGAAAATAATAGCATCTGCATATTGAAATGAAATGTACCATACTATAATCTACTGCTCACTGATGCACTGTATATATTGTTGGGTAAATATATATTGGGTAAAAATTGGTGCATAAGCTAGTCTTGCTGCCCTACCTTAAAAACTATGGAGACAGGTTAATATGTTAATATATGAAATAAGATAACTCATCTATAACATAATGGGGGTTATGTAAAAAATTCATTTTTGGGCACCGTTCACTAGGTGGAGTTGTAAATGGGAACAGTCCACTGGTGTCGGTGATGATTTCTCTACTTTTAAAAAAAAGTTCTCATCACCCATAACCGCCAATATGTACTACTAGATAAATGGACTGGGTTAGGGTTTAGTCTGTCTTCACATGACACATTAATTGCTAAAACGTAGAAAAAAAATGTGTTTCATTCCAAGGTACGAATGTCATGTTCAGGCCATAAAATCTAGGGAAGCCTTATAAATGATGGAACATACCAAGCACCATAACCACTACAGTGGTATGTAGTGCTAATGGTGCCAAGAGTGCCCTGGAGTTCCCTCCAGTCGTAAGTAGTCAAACAATTTTAGAATAGTTCCACTGCACCTCCACTATATCTGACTGAGAGACAGAAGCTAGCTCATTGGCTAAGAGCGATCAGCTTGTACTCTCAGTCAATGAGCTAGTCTCGCATCGTAGAACTTCGCTCAGAAGACCTAATGGAAGCTACTAATTAGGAGCTTTATGTTGTATATAATGAAGATGGGGGGCTCTTCCCAGTAGACGATATCAAGCCATTCTAAAAGAGTTTGACTACTTACAGTGGAGGAGGTCTGGACACTCCTGGCACCACAACCACTACACCATAGTTTGATAACTGTAGTGGTTATCATACTTGGACTGTCCCTTTAAATTCACTGCTTGCTGGAGAGATAATATAGGTCATCTACATAAATGTGCAATCAGAATGTATGCATAGTTCAGTTAGAATGTACTGTCTGCCTTATAGCAGCTCTGACCCACAATGCAGCACAGAGTATGAGATCTAAAGTATTGGGTGCACCAATACGTGGGTGTAGTGGTATTAGGCTGCAGTGCATTGGTAAACTGAGCAGTGCACTGGTATGATGTGCAGTGCAGTGTTATAAGGTGCAGTGTTGATCAGAGTCACAGAGTGCATATTGCTGTGAGGTCCACTGAGACATCTGTCTCTCTGTAGCCGGTGGTTCGTATTACATGATCTCTCGCTCACTGGGACCGGAGTTCGGAGGAGCCGTTGGACTTTGCTTTTACCTGGGGACCACATTTGCAGGAGCTATGTACATTCTTGGAACCATCGAGATCTTAATAGTGAGTACGAATTAACCTCTTGTTGTACTGTACATTTTTTTATTTATTTTTTACGGAATATATGTATACTTATATGAAGAAAAAAAGAACTATAATTAACTGGCTTAATGATCTAATATACCATAAAGGATATATGTGTATACTATTCAGAATCTTTCATTTCTGCAACTAATGTTTTTTTTCCAGGCAATACCTATGCCGCTATAATTTAAAATTTATTCTAAAATATATAATAATTTATTAAAAAAAACAAACAGTTAAACTTAAACGGGGTCTTATAACTGAAGGTTTATTCACTTAACTGGAAACGGACAAGAGAATAAAAAATTTAAAGGCAATATAACAGGCATCAAAAACATTTACAGTTCTGCAATTCAAACAGATCAGTTATTTTGGCATAAAGTTACAAAGTTACAAATTCCCTCGTCACTTCCAGATATTTTAATGTTTGGTGGATAATCCTGATTATCTGACATCACTGATAAATGATAAATGTTGTAACACAAGTCGTGTTATATTTTTTAATTACATAATTAGTACAATGCCTTTGTACATAATGTATTTTTTTTGTGTGAAATAAAATGCACACTATTTAAATATATATGTAAATGTTCTATGTTCTAAAACTTATACATATATTTCAATGTATCCAAACATTCTGAATTGAACATAAATTGTCTGCAATTATTTTAACACAAAATACACATTAATAGTTTCTGACAATTAAAAGTAGAATTGTGTTAGTTGATGTGTAGTGATGTCCCGAACTGTTCGCTGAACGGTTCGCCACGAACGGTTCGCCACGGACTCATCATTGAGTAAACTTAGACCCTGTACCTCACAGTCAGCAGACACATTCCAGCCAATCAGCAGCAGACCCTCCCTCCCAGACCCTCCCACCTCCTGGACAGCTCACTAAGAATGCAGCTTCACAATGAATGCTGTCCAGGAGGTGGGAGGGTCTGGGAGGGAGGGTCTGCTGCTGATTGGCTGGAATGTGTCTGCTGACTGTGAGGTACAGGGTCAAAGTTTACTCAATGATGAGTCCGTGGCGAACCCGTTCGCAAATCGTTCGGCGAACAGTTCAGGACATCACTATTGATGTGTTACCTGTTTACTAGAAAGTTAAAGAGACACTCTAAGAACCAAAACAACTTTAGCTTCAGTAAGTGGTTTTGGTGTATAGATAGTGCCTACGCAACCTCGCTGCTTATTTCACTGCCACCTAGGAGTTAAATCAATGTTTGTGTACCCTAGCCACACGTTCTCCCACTGAGACTCACAAAACCTACACACTTCCTGAAAAAGGAGTTTTTGCTTCCCTTATTACACAGTGTGTTTAATCTAGATATTGTTTTATATATCACTTGCACTAATTGCCTGCTAGCAGGAGCCTCATATGTGTGATTAAAGTTTAATGAACAGAGCAGACGATAAGAACTTTTAACTTTAACACACTGTGCTGTAAGATAAGATTAAAACTTAAACCATTTTGTCATCTTGGCTGTTTGTCGCAGCCAGGGGAGATGTGGCTAGGGCTGTATAAACAGAAAAAAAGGCAATGTAACTCCTAAATGTCAGAGAATTGAGCAGTGAGACTGCAGGTGCATAATCTATACACCAAAACCACATAATTAGGTAATTAGCTATTCTGGTGCTTAGAGTGTACCTTTAAATGAGCCACAACTCAGATGATCCAACAGATGCCTTCTTCTCTACTAGACCTATCTCTTCCCCAACATGGCTATCTTTAAAGCAAAGGAAGCCAGCGAGGAGCCTGCAGTTCTACTCAATAACATGCGTGTGTACGGCACGTGTGTACTTACCTGCATGGCCGTTGTGGTGTTTGTGGGAGTGAAGTACGTTAACAAGTTTGCGTTGGTTTTCCTTGGCTGCGTGATCCTATCAATCTTGGCAATATACGCTGGAGTAATCAAGACTGCATTTGACCCACCAGACTTCCCGTAAGTTCCTTAGTTATTTTTCCTTTTTTTTGTACCTTATGCCTGTTTTTAGTTTAAGTAAAATATTTTCAAATTTACAACTTTTGTGTAAGAGAAAATGGAAGCACAATACAAGTGAGGCAGAAAAATGTATTGGAAATCAGTATTTCGATATATCGTAGACTAGAAAAGATTTTTTTTTATTGACAAGACAGTCTATTACTGCTACATTTACCCAACTTATAGTTCTCAAAGTCATAAGTTGGTTCACATCTGAGTTGAAAATCTAAGTTGAAAATCATTATTAATTCACTTGTGGTTACGGTCACAGTACCAGCATAGTTGTAAGGAAATAGAAATGTTGGTTTGTGGTATGCCTTGGCTGATCTGAATTTGTGGAGAAATGATTGGAAGAGGTAGGATAAAAAAAGAGGAAAGTAAAAAAACAAAAACATTTTTTTAAAAGTATTTTAAGGGAGGTGAGGGTAGCGGAATGAGAGGTGATGGTCTAAGATGGGAGTGGGACGTAGGACAAACAAACAAAAAAACTGCAGTTTGAAGACGTATGCTTTAGGGTCTGATAAGCTCTAATACTAAAGTAAATATGTAAAAAAAGTTTTCAGGAGAAACATTTCATTCTTAAATTTTTTAATATTTTGCTTATAAATCTCCCTATATTTGACAAATCTGTTTTTTTTTTTTTGTGAGGTCTGTCAAATAAAATTTAAGGAAAACTGTCACCTCAAAAATATTTTAATGTAATAATACTTTCATCAAGTTTTGAAAGGAAATTCATTCAATATTTTTTTTGCGCAAATGAAGTATATTTTAATAACTGAGAAACACTCATCCCTACAGGATCCTTCTGCCATATTCATGCTCCTTTGGGTCAGACAGTGTTCGAACACTGAGAGTTAGTCTCTATGGTCTTCCCGGCCTCACTCCCTGCACAGAAGCAGAGAAGAAATATTTTAATGTAATAATACTTTCATCGAGTTTTGAAAGGAAATTCATTCAATATTTTTTTTTGCGCAGATGAAGTATATTTTAATAACTGAGAAACACTCATCCCTACAGGATCCTTCTGCCATATGCATGCTCCTTTGGGTCAGACAGTGTTCGAACACTGAGAGTTAGTCTCTATGGTCTTCCCGGCTTCACTCCCTGCACAGAAGCAGAGAAGACCATAGAGGCTAACTGTCTGTTTTCAAGCACTGTCTGATCCAAGGTGCACAAATATGGCAGAAGGATCCTGCCATATACTAAAGGCGAGGATGAGCTTTTTTAATATTGGTTTTAACGTATACTTTATTTTAAAAAAATATTTACTTTTAATATTTGATTAAAGGATAATTATAATAAAAATATTTTTGAAGTGACATTTGTCCTTTAAGTGTATAAATCACCCTTTATTTAGCTCTATTCTGGAGTGGCTCCATCTTGTCTCCCAGTCAATCATCAAGAGCTTTGCACTTTTTATAATTGAATATAGTTGAATGGTGGTGGAGGAACAGAAATGATGATTCCTTGTCCTCCTCCAAATTAATTTGTTCTGGGGCTGAACTCGATTGTGTTGTCAATTGCTAAATCTTTGAAATGCATTTGAAAGAAAATTTTAACTCTAGATATAGGTGATTTTAGGTTTTATCAGTGGTATAATTTCCAGAAATATGAGACCTTAAAAAAAAATGCTTTCCTCATTGAAGAAGAAAGGGCATGGCAATTCGATATTTTTGTTCTCATTAATAAGGCTGATCTTACATTTTCAAACACAGTGAGTGCTGGGAAGGGCATGGTTAGAAAATAGATGTAGCGTCTACGAAAATATGTAGTATACAATATATACTATTTACACATCAATTAAAAAATGTTTCTCCACGCATGTTCCTTGCATACCTTACAGCAGGGTTTCTCAACGTTAGTCCTCAGGACCCCCTACCAGTCCAGGGTTTAGGGATTACCTGGGTGTGTCTAAGGTGTTTAGAAAAAGAAACACCTTAGAGTCTAAGGTGTTTTTTTCTCTTTTTCTAAACACCTGAGACACACCCAGGAAATCCCCAAATCCTGGACTGGTAGGGGGTCCTGAGGACTGGGTTGAGAACCCCTGCCTTACGGGAAACCCAAGCCTGATCACTGAAATGTACAAAATTTTCGAGTACTAGTGATAAAATGAATTGTCCTTTTGCTTCATGGCGGATTGTTGGAAGTGCTATTGTTGAGGTTGTGACATGATGTGAAGTGAACTTTTGTGGTGTGTTATTGATCTGCATTCAAGATTATCTGCTGATGTATAAACCAAAAACTGTTCCCAAAAAGGCTCCAAGAATCATTCTAATGTACTGTTTCTGCCTGCGAAGTTCACTCAACTCTTTGATTTTCAGACTGTTTCATCGTCTACCAACGCGCACCCTTAGTTTTCATCTTGTTTAGCTTTTCCACATCTGTAGAAGAGGGTGTTGTAGACTTAATGGTGGTTATAAACAAGAGATTAATTGGTCAGATGAATCCCACTGCAATTTCAGAAAATAACACCACATTTTTTTATTACATAGTTAACATTACGCTTATGCTTCAGTTGACATCAACAAATAGTCTCTGTAGAATAGCGTATGTTTGAGAGAAGTTCCCTGCACGTTCATAATTTTCTCCATTCAGCTGTGAAAAAATGCCTTTGCCAGAAAAAACAGGTCCTCTAATTCATATTTTACGTTACTTATCTTAAAATGTTATCAGTATAATAACTCGGCTCTAACGGATAAAACAAGGTTTTTAGTGGATTTTGATGTCTATTTTTTTTCTTTCATTTTTTTTCACTAAGTAATACTTTTTTTTTTAAATTTTTTTACCAGTTTATGGCCAGCAAAAAAATTCAAACATAGTTAAAGATTTGTGTTATGATCCAGTTCATTCATTCCAAATATATATAAATATTTGTTTATTCTGAAAAGATGAAAATACTGAGATATATATAGATTGATTGATAGATTTCATAATCTTTTTTTTCTTTGAAAATAAAAAAATTACCTAGAATGTATTGGTGATTTGTGATATGTTTTATATATTGTATGAGATATGTTAAAACATACGAGTGACCTGGTTTAAATCTCAAATGTATCTAAACAGATTAATAAGCGCCTTTATCCTGATTGGTCCTTTACATTTATAAAGAATTAGTGTAATGTATTTTAATCTGATCTTGCTCTACATAACAGACTGCGTGTTTCTAATCCATGTTTCTATAAAACAAACACAAAAATGGGTATTTTTAAATCGAAACATGACTTTATGTGATTACCAAAATCTGATAACTCAAGTAGGATCATTCATCAGTTGGACCTAAATAGAGTTCCAAGCCAGTTGTTAAACTCTATCGTCTAGGGCAAGGGTAGGCAACCCACATCTCCTACAATGCCGGCAGAGCATCATGGGAGATGCAGTACACACCATCTGGAGGGCCAAAGGTTGCCTACTGCTGGTCTATGGTTATTCACTGAAGTAAGAATTGCTGGGCATTCAAAGTGAATTTCTAATTTAAGGCCAAAGTAGCCCAATTGCAAACAAGACTGACTTGGAGACTTTTTTGAATTTGGCTATTTTTACCTAAATATTGAAGCTAACTTTGTATTCACTTTGAATTCATGGCGATTCTCAATTTAGTGAATAACCTGATATCATCATATCACTTTTCTGTCAGTATTTCTGTTCTTACAACGTACAAATTATTTAAAATATGGAATTATTTGCTCAGGTTGTCTCCCCAGCAAGGAGGCTGAAGTTTATAATAATAAAACTATTAATTTCAACCATTGTAGCCGTCCCAATAGCCTTACTATTTTAGATTGTAAATATGGCTATACTAAAGAATCCTTCAAATCATCTGATTTTTCAAAGTGTTCCATTACAATGTGGCACAAAATACTAAAAGTGGGACAATCACCTTGGACACTAGTGGCATCATCAGCAACATCGGAAAGACTTCCGGCAGAAACACTATCCCAATCGTTGTTTTAATAAAAGTGGACGAGAAAGCTCTATATACCAATTGCAATGACCTCCTGAGGG